TTGGACACGTTTCAGTGCGGGACAAATATGTAATAAAGGTTTCAAAGGGAAGAACAGTTTAGTGCGGGATAAATTTCATCTCCATGATAGAATATTGAACATATATGTAATAAATATGTTTCAAATGAGCGATCATTGGACACATTTTAGTGCGGGACAAATTCCTAACACAAAAATGTTTCTAAGAGGAAACGATTGGACACAGTTTAGTGCGAGACCAATATCTAACAAAAATATACCATAAAAATGTTTTAAAAGGGGGAATATTTCAGTGCGCGACAAATTTTATCTCCATGGTTGAATATTGAACATGTTTAATACATATGTTGGACACATTTTAGTGCGGGTCAAATTCCTAACACAAAAATATGTCATAAAAACGTTTCAAAGGGAAAACCATTAGACACAGTTCAGTGTGGGACAAACATCTAACAAAAATAGCCATGAAAATGTTTCAAAGGAGGAAACATTTCAGTGCGGGATAAATTTCATCTCCTTGATCGAATATTGAACATAAATGCAATAAATATGTTTCAAAGGAGTGGTCATTGGACACATTTTAGTGCGAGACAAATTCCTAACACAAAAATGTTTCTAAGAGGAAACGATTGGACATAGTTTAGTGCGAGACCAATATCTAACAAAAATATACCATAAAAATGTTTTAAAAGGTGGAACATTTCAGTGCGCGACAAATTTCATCTCCATGATTGAATATTGAACGTGTTAAATAAATATGTTGGACACATTTTAGTATGGGACAAATATCTAACAAAAATATACCCTAAAAATGTTTCAAAGGGAGGATCATTTCAGTGCGGAGAAATTTCATCTCTATGATTGGATTTTGAACATGTTTAATATATATGTTGGACACATTTTAGTGCAGGTCAAATTCCTAACACAAAAATATGTCATAAAAACGTTTCAAAGGAAAAACCAATAGACACAGTTTAGTGTGGGATAACCATCTAACGAAAATAGCCATGAACATGTTTCAAAGGAGGAAACATTTCAGTGCGGGACATGTAATACAATTATGTTTCAAAGTAGTGAACATTGGACATATTTTAGTACGGGACATATTTCATCTTCAAAAGCGAATTTATTATGTAATAATGTCATTCCAAAGGAGTGACCATTGGACACATTTAGTGGCGGAAAAATATTTACCACAAAAATATGTCAACAGCGTTTCAAAGGAAGACCATGTGATATATTTCAAAATAGAACCTTGAAAACATGGTATAAAAAGTACATATACTAAGTTCATACTGTGATACATAGGCAATTCAATGTGTAAGATTTTTAGCTATATTTACACCGGTTGTTGGACTAGGGTGCTCCCAAAAATTTAAATTTGTTAAATCTTTTATCACTTTCTTTTTGTCTTCGTAAAATCCTATATCTTTTCTAAGTTTTTGAACTTTTTCCATAAACTCTTCAATTCTACGGCTATTCTGTTTGCTAGACATCTCGATACTAAGGAAAAAATATTGAAGCACCTATTTACTTTAAAAAAGATTCTTTTAGCTAGCTCACTGCGCATGATTTTTCTGTTCGACGTTAATCTATACCACGTTCTCTACATAATGCCGTTTTTCCCGTTTGAATCGGACCACGTGATACATGCTAAGGCCATTCTGGCTTTTCATTCTGCGCATGTTTTTTCTGTTCGACGTTAATCTATACCACGTTCTCTACATAATGCCGTTTTTCCCGTTTGAATCGGACCAATAGAAGTGAAGATACATGCTAAGGCCATTCTGGCTTTTCGTTCTGCGCATGTTTTTTCTCTTCTACGTTAATCTATACCACGTTCTCTACATAATGCCGTTTTTCCCGTTTGAATCGGACCAATAGCAGTGAAGATACATGCTAAGGCCATTCTGGCTTTACCACTACGCGTGTTTTTTCTGTTCGACGTTAAAAGAAATTTAATTCCCCCCAGACCGTCTGTCTCACTCTTATCCATTGAATATGTACCTCTCACTCTTACACATTGAATTGCCTATGTGTCACAGTATCTACTGTAAAATGTTTGGACACATTTTAGTGAGGGACAAATTTTCTTTACAATTTTGTTGAATTTCTGTCTATGAACCCTACAAAATGAATTTGCGATGACTCAAAATTTGGTAAATCAAAAAGATTTTTATCAGCACTGAAATGCGTCAAATAGTATACCCGCTTTGAACATTTTTTAACAGAAATACCAGGAATTTTGTTAAATTATAGGATAACTTTTCCTCCTTTTTTAAAATACCTTATTTATTCTGATACCAAAATTTTATTCACGAAATTGCAATTGTAGAACCTTGATCTTTGTATGTTTGTTTCTACTCCGATTTTTATGAAATTAAATAAAGCAATACAGTGAGTAATTTAAATTATCTGACTCGTGTCTGCTTCGGTCTATTTTCATAACACAAGAGTGGATAGATTTGTAGGCAACACAGAATACACGAGTTTGTAATGATGGTTGCCTATATTTATAGGAGAATACAGCAAAGTTTTAGTTATTCCCTAATAGATGGTGTTTGTAATGTTGATCACCCATTTTTAATCAATTTTAAACTATTTAAAATTAAGATATATTTAAAATCGGGAAATTAAAGAATAAGTTGATTAAATTGATGTTTATTTATAAAAAATACTTACTTTAAAACATAACAAAAATATGTAATTTAATTATATAGAAATAGTACATTTAAAAAAATACCTATTCAAGGTTCAAAATGGTGACAAAAATATTTATTTATATTGATTTCGCTGATTACGCTTTGATTAAATTAATAAATTTTTAATAAAACAATAATTCTGTTTTTACACTAAAAACAAATAAATGTATTCATACCTACTAGTGGAAAATTACTTTTTGACCTACAATGGAATAAAAATGGTTGCTCGAGTGGACGGCTCTGCCATCAGTCCAAAAATAGACAAAGCCTTCGTTTATGCATTATTCTCATAGGTGGCACCACGTGCCGTTATTAGAATCTGAAACGAATATAAAGAAATTTTGAAATGTTATCTTCGTTTCGAATGTGGTTTTATGGAAAAGAAAGATGATTTAATGATTTTTAGGTAGATTTTGTTATTTTTAGTATCGGCTCTAGAATATATATGGCCATTCACACTATATCAATTTCTTTAACTATATCATAGGTAAGATATATTATCTATTATTATCGTCGAGCATGCATCTTAGGTTTTACCCATAGAAAAATTAAAGTTTTACTTATTCTAGAACAAAATAGAGCGTTAAATTTGTCAATATCTGTCAACCTAATAATATAATCAAAATAATATTGCTCAATAAAAACTTTGTGAATTCTTAAACGTTTTTAATTGCCCAAAGTTCCTTAAACTGTTTTACTTTTATTACTGTTTTGTGTTTTATTATCAAAATAAACACACATTAATAACAACAGTAGGTATATTTATTTTGAATTAAGTAGTAAGGGCGTCATTCCTTGGAAATGTAAAAAATGGAGAATTGATGTAATTAAAGTCGCTTTCTGTGCCAGGCACCCATCTAGGTGTTAACAATAATTTATATGGTCACAAAGCATATCTATATTATTTGTTGTCTCATAGTTTTTCACATTTAACTCTTTTTGTCACGGTCTACTTTTAGATCTTTCTTGCTCATAATTATCAGTTTGTTCCCTAATAAAAATTAGAATTTGGCAGTTGTGGACAGTAGCGGCTCGTGGGTTTTGAGTTTTGGAGACATTTTATTCTTACTATAGAGTATTTTTATATGATCATTATCATTCACAATGTAATCAACTTTCTATACTTTTAGTAGTTGATTAATAATCAATAATCGTACGCCGTAGGTACTTGACTAATAACAGATAATCATGATTGGTACATTAATGCTGTAAAATGTAGGCAAGCTTATTGTCATCTTTTATTAATTGAATATACCTGCCCCGTTTTTGAGATACGTGGTGGTAAACCTGTGAATTTTTATAATTTTCAAATTATTTAAGTACACGTGTATACGATACGGGAGAACCAAAAAGATGGTTCAGTGGGTGAGAGAAAATATTTCTGAAACATGTTATAAACAGGAAAAGTTACAAAACGAGTTATGTTGTGAAAGGTCATGACTACATGCCCCATAACTTTCTTATGGTTTATGTAGTTATTCTTCGTCTTCTTCTTGTTCTTCTTCTTGTTCTTCTTCTTGTTCTTCTTCTTGTTCTTCTTCTTGTTCTTCTTCTTGTTCTTCTTCTTGTTCTTCTTCTTGTTCTTCTTCTTGTTCTTCTTCTTGTTCTTCTTCTTGTTCTTCTTCTTGTTCTTCTTCTTGTTCTTCTTCTTGTTCTTCTTCTTGTTCTTCTTCTTGTTCTTCTTCTTGTTCTTCTTCTTGTTCTTCTTCTTGTTCTTCTTCTTGTTCTTCTTCTTGTTCTTCTTCTTGTTCTTCTTCTTGTTCTTCTTCTTGTTCTTCTTCTTGTTCTTCTTCTCGTTCTTCTTCTTGTTCTTCTTCTTGTTCTTCTTCTTGTTCTTCTTCTTGTTCTTCTTCTTGTTCTTCTTCTTGTTCTTCTTCTTGTTCTTCTTCTTGTTCTTCTTCTTGTTCTTCTTCTTGTTCTTCTTCTTGTTCTTCTTCTTGTTCTTCATCTTCTTCTTCTTCTGCTTCCTCTTGTTCTTCTTCTTTTTCCCAATAATACTAATATTAAAATGTAGTATGTACGAATTCAGTGGTATTCTGTAAAAGTCTCGAATTTGAATCACCCCATAGATACATAAAATTTGCGAAATTCAAAATAAGAATAAAAAAACACGCAGCAGCCAAACAAACCAACAAACAGGACAAAAAAACAACAAATTCCGAAATTTCTCAATAGCCAAGAGAGTTGCACATCGCGCGACGTTTCATCAATTAGTATCGCAACATAGCGACCAATTACCTTTTCTCAAAAGACTGAGGAAGGCTAAAATTAGCCCGTCTAAAGCATGAACGGCGCCCAGCGTCGCCGTCGTCGTCGTCGCATCGCCACAGCTTAAGCAATATTTCGGCTAGCCGTGTTTACACAACGTCTTGCATTTAGAACGACGAAGTTCGGTTGTGTTTTGTAAAACAAATTTTTGTGTGAAATTGGATATTTATTTATAGTTTTTCTTTAAACGATTCGAAGATTTCTTGGTTTGGAAATGGTCCTGTTTGGTGAGACGATGTAGTTATAGGTGAAAAGTGACAAAATTATTGAAATGGTTAAGCTTAAAGTGGCTGTAAGGGTAAGGCCCATGTCTTTGAGGTAAGTCGCTAGAAAACAAAGGAATTTCGTATGAGTAAACATTATTTCATGAAATTAACTATACAATTATTGTATACAGTAATATTGAAGTTGAAGTTACTAGAATGTTTAGTCCTACATTAAATTAAATGTACCTAAATTCATTTCATACAAAAAAATCACCTGGAAATGATAAAATCGAAAGTGATAGTTTTAAAGAAATTGAAAGATGCGTTGTTTATTCTTTAACATACTTAATAAATAAACAAAATACTAGATAATGAGTTTTCCCAGATTGTTTATAAATACCAGTAAAAACCTTGTTCAAAGAAAGAAGGTAAAAATAAAATTATTAATTATTATTATTGACCAATATCGTCTATATCGAACATTGCAAAAGACTATAGAGAGGATTAATAAAAACAGAATCGTTTCTTTTATAGATATTAGTAGATATATATTTAATAGGTATTATTTCCGAGAAGCAATACGGTTTCAGATGTGGTATTACCCCTATGTCTTTGAATTTTTCTACTAACTATTACAGAATTTTTTCCAGTTTTAATTTTATATGTTGTTTATCGACAAATTGCATATATAGTTATAGTATTACCATTTATAAATATTTTGCAGTATTTTATTAACAATTTTCACTAAGTTATGTGAATATATAAGAAAAATATATAAGGGCATCATCAGTAAACATGTGAATGTCTTGTTGTCCCTTGACATTAACAATGTCATTGATATTAACCAGGATTCCCAAACTATTTTGGGCAAGAGGCAAGGGACCACTTTTCCAAAATGAATTGATACCTCAGACCCTCAGAGCCAAATTATTTTTAAAATCTTATCTATTTTTTTCCTATTGATACAAATACTTACCAATTTAAAACTTTGCGGTTGGTTAAGTGAGTAAAGTTGACACCAGTGTTGCCAACCTTGAAGTACGATTTTTTGCCTCCACTTACCTTAAAAATCCCCACTTTTCCCGTTTAGGGTTGCTACCTTTTCATTCCTCAAAACCCGGACCTTTGTTCTAAAAATTAACCCGTACAGGTGGCATCTCTTTTCCCGTTAACAAAATCGGTATCGGTTTAAAAAAGGATAACCTAAAACCAAAAACTTTAACAATGCTTTAAAAATACAAAAATACGTCAAAGCAATAACAAATTTAATTTTATTTATTTTTAAAATTATACATTTTTTACAATTTGGACTGTAGTAAAAAATCCCTTTTTGAGTAAACTTTTTCCCTTTTTCCATTTTGTGTTAAAAATTCCCGCAGAACGGGAAATTTCCCTTCGGTTGGCAACACTGCTTGATATCATTTTCTCATCAAAATTTAACAAAATAAATAAATATAAAATTCAGTAAAAATAAAGTGTAATTAATAATTATTAATACAAATTAAGTAAAAATACTTAAGTAGATAATTATTAAAAAAAAAAAACATTAAAATAGCAAAGTAAAGATATAGAACATTACTGAAGGCTTACAGCTGTTATGTCATCTGTTTGTGTATCTTGTGCATGTGCGTTCCTGCTGTGTCCCCAGTCATGTAAAATTTTTCCTAGTCTCCTAATTTGGTGACTAGGTGGACCTTCTCCAACTAGTCGTCTAATCTATTCGATCAGCTCTGCATTAGGAGGTACTTTTCAAACGTAGAAAATAATAATATTAATAATTAATAATAAACACTATTTAAAGATGAATACATTTTTGTAATTTTTTTGTCGTTGTCCCTTACCTGTCTCTTACACCACCAGGGTATACCTATTTTCCATACTCCCTTAATTATAGATTACCTTACGATGTTTGAATGAATTTTACCCATGAAAAATCTAATTTCAAATTTAACTCTTTTTCAATTTCATTTGAAACAATTTATATATTATGATTTATTATCAAGGAAATCTTCTAATAAAGTTATAGCAGATCATACGCAAACTACTGGTTGTTCTGCCTGCAGGATAAATTAACTTTTCTTGAGATTGATCTCTTTCTAAAATCCAAAACCGACCTGATATCCCCAAATTCGTATCAAAAACAAAAAATTCGAATAAAAAATTTTAATGATATTTTATTTGATTAGATGTTCAAAATGCATTCCAGTTTGTGCTAAACAATAGTATAATCGATTTTCAAATTCTGTTCTAACATTGTGGAACACTTCTCTTGGAATATTGCTGCATTCCGTAATAATTCGTTGCCGAAGATCTTCTATTGAATCCGGTTTTGTTTTAAATACGATGTATTTCAAATGGCCCCAGAGAATAAAGTCAAGAGGTGTTAGATCGGGAGATCTCGTCGCCCATTCGATTGGACCTCTCCGTCCAATCCATTGACCTGGAAAAGCGTCATTCAAAAATTGCCTGACTGGAAGAACGTAGTGGGGTGGTGCTCCGTCTTGCTGAAAATGTATTAAATTTTCATTCAGATTCCTGTTTCCGTCAATGTCCAGCTGATTTTCAATTTCTTCAACAATGAGAGGTTGAATGGTGGTGTCCTAACATTTCCAAGTAAGTATCGCCATTAAGATTGCCATTAATAAATAATGTCCCAATCACAGTGTCGCCTAAAATTCCCGCCCAGACATTCATTTTTTCTGGATACTGCGTGTGCCCTTCCCTGAAGAAATGTGGATTTTCGTCATTCCAATACCTGCAGTTGTGTTTGTTCACTGAACCGTTTAAATGAAACGTGCATTCGTCGCTAAACAAATATTTTTTAGCAACTGGGGAGTAACACGTAACATTTCGGTCATATGTCCTCGCAAAATTGCATTCTTTGATCGAGGTCATCCTCCTGCAACTTCTGAAGTATTTGCATTTTGTACGGGTAAAACTTATGAGCTTTATGAGTTTTATGAGAAATTCCCGTTATCGCCGAAGCTTGGCGTAGAGACATTGTAGGATTCATAGCAAAATGTCCTGAAACTTCCACTTGTACAGCTTCATTAAGTACTCTTTGATGGACCCTTTTTTAGTTTGCCACTGATCCTGTTTCTTCAAATTTCATAATCAGTTGTCTGATGTAAGTATGACTTACATTTTTTCCGGGGTTTATTTCGTTAAATGCTAGGTTATATAAGAAGAAACGCTAATTCTATCTAAATATACCTAAAACCGTAAACGGTGTAAACGGTTAACTTTGCATTTAGCATTATCTTGTAAAATAGATTATTAAAATTAATTCCAGCTTAGATTGTTGTAGAGTAAAGTCAGATAAATAAAGTCTCTAATCTTCAAAAAGTAAATTTTTGTTTTTTTTTTAATTATTTTCGATCTAAATAAATTTAACTTGCTGCAGCAGTTCTTAAAGCACAATGATTTTCTAAACCATAAATAAACACCATCTGAATACTTTCAGCCAAACTGTAGACCATGTAGAACAGAACATAAAAATTATACTCGTATTTCTTCAATTATACAGTTCTGACTTTGCAGTACAACCTTGCACAAACGACTAAATTTTATACAAACATTGATAGGTAGGTACGTACCCGATAAATTCAATGCTATTTTTTATTCTCAGATAAGTGCTCCAAAATTTTAGAATGAAATTTGAAGTTTTTTTTGTTTATAAAAAAATGGAATGCATGTTGACCATCTAATGAAATAAAATATCATCTTAATAACAATAACGGAATTTGAAAATCGATGGTACTATCGTTTAGAAATAAATGGAATGCATTTTGAATTATCTGATCAAATAAAGTACAGTTTATTTTATTCGAATTCATGTTTTTGTTACACCCTGTATTGATTGAAAAAAAAATTTTGTACAGGTGAATACTACTAAATGAGACCTTTCATTTGAGGTATAACAAAAGGGATAGTGCTATTTGACATTTTAAAGTTGGGGTGTGTCGCGCCTAAGGGGTAACTCACCCCTTCACTGAAATATGGTGGTTCTAGTTCCCCCTAACTCTATAACATTTTTGCCAAATGGCGTTTCTCCAACTTCTTTATTTTGCGAGATATTCGCTTTGAAAGTTTTCAAATTGACACCCTGTATATTATTAAACACACACATTATACAGTAGTTGTTGATTTTCTTAATAAATTGGAAATTACTTACAGAACACAACGTGTACAAAAACGTGAATTTGGTTCCAGAAACTGCCTTATGCAAAAAATAATATGCGAAAATAAACACTCCCCTCCCCAAAAAAAAACTAATTAAACAACAAAATCAGACTCAAAGAAATAAACGGGGCCCATATTAAATTAATTTTAATAAAATGCACACGTTTATAACAATGACATATATAGATTAATAGACTGCTCATCCATATACAGTGTGGAAACCACTTATGGAATAAAATTCTTTATGTCATTATTTTAGAAAATTATAAAAATTGCCGAGACATGTCAACTTTTGAATTGAGTTGTGCGTTATGTAAACATAAATTTAAATGTACAGGGTGATTCACGCAAGTATGCCATAGTCGGTGTTGTTTTTTTTAATGAAACACCCTGTATATTTTCATACATACATTATTCAGTTTGTTGGAATCGGTTCATTAAGCGGATTTCAAAAATATGCAAATATACAGGGTGTTTCATTAAAAAAAAACAACACCGACTATGGCATACTAGCGTGAATCACCCTGTACATTTAAATTTATGTTTACATAACGCACAACTCAATTCAAAAGTTGACGTGTCTCGGCATTTTTAAAATTTTCTAAAATAATGACATAAAGAATTTTATTCCATAAGTGGTTTCCACACTGTATAAACAAGACGACGAAACGCGAGTCATATTGCTTGGCTTTCCAAGTGCTCACCAGGCAGAATCGGTCTGGCCCAAATGAGTTTAAAACACATATTTCATCAAAGTAGAAATTGAATTAAAAAAAAAATATCTGTATATTTATTTCAAGACAGGAGCTTGCGTTAGGTATTTTAAAAATCTGATGTGTCCAACACATGACTTTCCTATCTAGTTAACCTATTGCAGCATCTCTAAAAATGTTTAGAGGATAAACTAAATATATACATTTTCCACATACC